CCGCGCCCCCGGGCCCTCCCTGCCCCCCACCGCCCCTCCCAGCCCTGCCCCAGGTCTGTCCCGGTCAGATTCCCCAGGCCCTGCCCGCCCCACTCCCAGCCCCGCCCCACTCCCGGCCCTGCCTACCAGCCGTTCTGGGTGCCCAGCCACATGGTGGGCGCCGCGCTGTTGCCTGTCCCGACTGGGTCTCCGCTGGACTCTGGCTCAGGCTGTGTGCTGCCACCATCAGGCTGCGGGCCGTCCTCACTGCGGGAGGAATGGCAGCCCCAGTGCAGCCCACAGAGTGAGCTTGGGATCGGACCCCAGGGCCCTTCCGTCCGCTCAGTGCCCGCCCTGAGAGCCCACCTGCCGGGCTGCGTAGGCGAGGATGGGTTGGGGGCCGGGTCGGTGAAGACGTGCTCCGTGAGGGGCCCAGGACGCACTGCAGCCGTTTCTGACTCGCTGGGCCCAGGGTCTGGGACCTCTGTGGCCTCCGTGGCCTCCTCTGTGGACTGGGACGGGTTGACCTTCCCATTGGCAACAGCAGCCACCTCCCCTGTGGAAAGAGGGAAATTGTGCCGCGGAACAGAGGGCCTGGGCGGGCAGAGGACTGTCTGGGACTCACCCTGCCCTTTGTCCAGCACCGGGGTGTCCCCCCGGGAGGAGCAGCTGCTGTGAGGCACGTTGCAGCGGGTGGCACAGCCCACCAGGGTGATGCCGGCCAGCACGCCGTCCGTGCCAGAGTCCTCGGGGTTCACGTCGCTGTCCAGGAACATCTCTCCAGGGGGGTAGTCACTGTCGCTGGCCGCTGCGGGGAGTCAGCCCTGTCACCCACACCCCGGAACCCAGGGCTGGGAGGCCGCACCCAGAGAACTGACGGGCAGCAGGGTGCACAGGAGCTCCTCCCACGGCCTGCCCCGCCCCTCCTGCCCAAGGTTGCCAGGTAGTGAGCCCAGATGGTGGGCAGATGGACTCGGCTGTAGGGAGCAGCAGCTACTTCAGGAAGCGCGCTGGTCTCACCCGGGACCCCATGGGGCCTTGAACCCTCCCTCCCACTGCTGGGTTACAATCCCTGCAGTGAGTACCTGCGGGGACTGGCCCAGCCCTGGTCTAGGCAGTGGGGTCTGGGCCCTTCCCCTCCCCACTGGGGTAGAGCTCCTACACTGAGGGCCTGCAGGGGCAGTGGGGTCTGGGCCCTTCCCCTCCCCACTGGGGTAGAGCTCCTACACTGAGGGCCTGCAGGGGCAGTGGGGTCTGGGCCTGACTGGGAGTTTCACACATGCCCACACAAGTGTCTCCTCTGGCCCTGCCTGGGGTTCCAAGTGGCCCAGCTGTGGCCCTGTCACTCCTGGGTAAGAATGCCGTGGGGCCAGGTCTCTGGGTCTACAGGGTGCACAGGAAGACATGCACAGGGTGGGGGCTCGTCGTGGCTACGGGCACTCCTGCATGGCAAGGCGCAGTGTGGGCTGGGCTCACCCGGGATGCTAGAGATGCACAGCACGTGGGCGTTGCAGACGGTGAACTGGTCCACCACGGTGCCTGGCTGGTTCGCATCGATGATGACCACCTTGCTGGTGCTCAGGGTGCTGGTGAGGATCCATACCCGGCTGGAGGTGGCGTCCGCCTCGGCAAGCTCCTTTGCCTGTTCCGGAACACGGAGGGGTCCAGGCTGGGGCCTGAGCTCAAGGACCCCCAACTGCAACACGCAGTCACGGGGGTCCTGGTGTCTCCGGACCCTTGACCAAGGCTCGACTGAGGCTCCAGGGCCCTATGTCCATGCCCTGCCACCCATGGAGTTCTAGCACTTATGCTCGCACCCACGGGGCCTCCCACCAGCTGAGGGAGGGCGCCAAGTGGCCCTGGATGCAGGTGCTCCTCCCTCACACCCAGGCTCACGGACACTGTTCTGTCTGTCCTCTGAGCCGGTCCTTCCCAACCACAGCCACGCTGACCTTCTTCTTCTCGGGAGACGTGTGGGTGCTCTTGGGCTCGCTGCCTTCCACTTCCCGGTCACAGGTCAGAGGGTCACAGCCTGGTGTGGGCTTGATGCTGTTCCCAGGAGCGTCGTCGCCTGGCTTCCACCCGCTCAGGTTGACCCCCGCAGCACACCACAGCTGCAAGGACAGGGCGTGGGCTCCAGCACACCTGCCCTCTGCTGCTGGCCAGAGGGCTGTGGGTCCGACGGGCTCCCTCACCTTCATGGTCGGGTCCTTTTCCACCAGAGGGCGGCAGTACACGGGGACAGGCACGTGCTTCACCCGTGTGTCCTCCTGGCCCCCGTTGGGACTCAGCTGCAGCAACGCAGGGAGCTGCTGGGGGCGCAGGGCAGGCCCTGGGCCGGAGGCTGTGGGCTGCTCCTACACCCCTGCAGACAGCTCCAGACCCCACTACAGTGGCCACCCTGCCTCGCCTGGCCGCCGGCCTGCACCGGGCCACCCCTTCCCCCGCCCCCCCCACCTGCCCCCTCACTCGCCCCGCCCACGCGCACCTGCTTGTACTTGGCCGGCAGGCTCCAGCCGCAGGCCTGCAGCCGCCCGTCATCGTTGCGCACGTGCTCGCGCACCTGGCGGTACTGTTCACGCTTCTGCTCCCGCCGGGCGGAGGACGTGCAGTCGCTGGGCAGGAGGAACCACGGTTATAGTTTGTGTGTGTTTCAAGGTGAGCAGCAGACACAAGACCTGGGGCACCCACACCCCGGCAGCGGCAAGGAGGCCGGCTTGGGCCTGTCTTGCCTGTCCTCGGGGCTGCGAGGCGCCCGCCTGCCAGGAGGGAGACTTCCCAGCACACGGTGGGTGCATGAGGACGCGCCTGGTGCCTTGGCCAGCGTCCTTCCCACGGTGGCTGCCGCCACACTGGCGAGCTGAAGGTGACCCTCAAAGCCCTGTTTGAGGGCCTGTAAGGGTGGAACCCTGGGCCAGGCCAGACGGTGAGGGCCGCGACACTCACTCATCGGGGAAGAACTCCAGGGGCCGGCTGCCTGCCGAGATCTGGCACATGGCATGGCTGCGGCGCTGGCTGAAGCCGGCTGCGGTGGGCGACTTGTAGTGGATGTTCACTGAGGGGTAGGCCCGCTTGGCTGGAGGGGGACTGGAGGAGGAGCTGAAGAGGCGGCTGAAGCTGCAGCAGGAGGGACAGAGGTGAGGGGCAGCGGTGGGGAGCTCAGCCGCTGCCTCCCCACAGCAGCAGGTCACCCGTCCCGGCGACCCTGACTCACAACTGCCAGATGGTGGACTTTTTCTTCTCCTGGACAGACGGGTGTTCTCGGGATGCTCTGGAGGGAAGGCCAGAGGAGGGGGCTTGCTGGGACCAGGGAGGCCCCGCACCCTTCCCCCCGCTGGCAGCGCCGATCCTGTCCCCACGAAGCCACGAGGCTGGAGCACGGTCTGCACTGGCTGTGAGTGCGGGGCCGGCGGCCAGGCCCACCTGATCATCTCGGTCCACCGTACAGCCTCCTGCAGCTCCATCAGCCGCTCCTTGTACTGGTTCCGCTCCATGAGCACTCGGGCCATCTCCACCCGCGTGAAGCGGCGGCGCTGGGCCATGGGGATCTTGTCCTGCAGCAGGAGAGG